GAAGTGGATTTTGACAGGCCTACTCCATCAACTGTGATAACACTTAATGATACAGAGACATTAAAAATCTCAGTGACTTGGCAAAATAAAAACTTATTTCCCTTTCACATAAAATCCAATATGGATATAACAAGTCAATAGGCAGCCTCCCTGGTGGTCATTCAGAGATCCAGGCTCTGTCTTCCTGTGTGGCCTTGGAGTTCTGTTGGAAATCCTGTCTCTAGCAAATTGACAGGTGAAGGAAGAGAAGGTATGGAAGATCACACGAGGTGGACATCAGTGCTACCCACATTCCTTCCGTCAAAATGCAGTAATGTAACCAACCCTAATTGTAAGAGAGGTTAGAAAATGCAGTCTAACTTTATTCTCAGGAGGTAGAAGATATGAGTTTTTGTGAACTCATAGCATTTCTGTCTTTCTGTGGTAGGTAGGTAGCTTTTTGTCACTGTGACAAAATACCTGAGAAAATCAATTTAGGGAAGAAAGTTTTATTTTGGCTTACAGTTTTAGATGTTTAAGTACATGGTCATTTGGTCCCATTGCCTTGGGTCTTTGGTGAGGAAGAATATTATGACAGGGACAGTGGTAGAGCAGAACTGCTCACCTCATGACATCCAAGCAGCAGAAAGAGAAGGGAAGGGGCCAGGGACAAGACATAACCCCCAAGGACCCACTCCCTTCAACTAGGTGTCACCTCCTAAATGTCCATCACCTCCCAATAGCCCATCAAATTATGAACCCATCAGTGGATTAACCCATTGATGAGATCAGATCTGTCACAATCCAATCGCTTCTCAAAAGCTCCATCTCTGAACATTGTTGCATTCGGGACCAAGTCTTCAACACATGAACCTTTGGGGGACACTTCAGATCCAAACCATAACACTTAGTTCCTTAAATGGAATAGCAATACCAGGAAGCAGATGGGGGTAAAGGAGCCACACAGCTTTAGACACTAGGAGAAAGTCAAATGTCATAGGCAGATTAGGTATTCCACAGATGACAGGCAGAAGAGAAAGGCTTATAGGAAGTATAAAATTGTACAAAGAATAGGATGGTCACAGTGACATAAAACCTATGAGTAAAAATCCTCAGAATTTCAGGCCTGGAGCAGGAAGAATTTGGGAAATCAGATGTCAAGCAGAGTGCTTGTCACCTAGTTAGTATTTAGGAAGACCAGGGGAAAGAGTAGAGGATAAGAACAGGGTCAGTTAAGAGCTAGAATAAAGGGCTGGGATGTAGCTCAGTGGTACAGCGCTTGCCTAGCATGCGTGAGGCCCTGGGTTCGATCCCAGCACCAAAAAAGAAAAGACAAAAAAAAAGAAAAAAAAGAGCTAGAATAAAGCAACCCAGATCTAGGAAGATTATAGAGATGGGGAATGGGTACAAGGATATACAGCCAAGACAGACTAATTGTGGGATGGCTCATTCAGGACCACAATGTTGGAAAAGAGCTGTCTGAGCTTTGCTGGCCTGAATTCAGGATTGGACCCAGAGCAGTGCACATTCTACTGATGGGGTCATGGAGTGCCATTTGGGCACCACACAGGCCTGACATGATATATCCTCAGATATTACCAGAAACCTTTCTCAGCTTGTTAGTCATTGGCAACAACCCTAACTAGCTTCTTCACAAATGTCCTGAAATGAAATGGCATAGTTTCAGTGCAAACCCTTCACAGCACAAAGCCAATGTTGCCGAAAAGTATGGAAGACCTGAGGTGGCATATTTGCTTAGAAGTAAGAATCAATGATACAAATAATAATCAATAAGGGCACTGCACAGTCTTTGCTTTAAATATGTTTGAGCATTTAATTTTGAAAAAAGAAAACTTATGAAGAAGATGGCTTCATTATTGAGGTTAAAAACTCATCAACAGAGATTTGATAAGTGACATACCCAAGTAAGTGGCAGAGCTGTGTTTCAAAGAGAGAGGGATGATTTAACTACTCTGCTATACTACATTTTGGGGTGTTTTTGTTTTGTTTTGTTTTTTGGGTTTTTTTGGTGGGACTGGGGTTTGAACGCAAGGCTTCATGTTTGCAAAGCAGGCGCTCTACCACTTGAGTCAAACCTTTAGTCCCTTTTGCTCTGTTTTTTGAATATTGGGTCTCACAAACTATTTGCCTGGGTTGGCCTTGAACCCTGTAATCCCAGCTACTTGGGAGGAAGAGGAAGGAGGATCTCAAGTTCAAGGCTAGCCTTGGCAAAGTTAGTGAGACTCAAAATAAAAACAAAAGGGCTGAGGACATAACTCAAGTAGTGGAGTACTTGCCTAGCATGTGCAAAACTCTGGGTTCAATCGCCAGGACTGAAAAAAAAAAGCGTAAGCTATTATGCACTAAAAAACTTTCAAGTAAAATATATCATAAATGATTGCAGAGTGTCACTGCTTAGGGACCACAATTCTACATACCCTGGAAAATTTTGTTTTACTCAGCAAAATGAATTCATGAGGGTTAAGAGCCAGAAATTTCTGATGATGGCAGAACTGCCCTAATTCTTCGTTTGCTAGAAAGGACTATGATAAAAGGGCTCACCTTCATTGAATTTATTTTTTATGAGTTGAGGAATCCAGCATTTTATATATAACTACACAAGAATTATATAGTCATCTATCTATCCACCCATTCATTCATCCAGGCATTTATTCAGTCATTTCCTAAAGAACTCAATATTCCAAAATATCCACTAAGCCAAAACTTTTTTTAAATTATTTTATTTTATTTTTATTAGAGTATATTACACATGCGGGATTCATAGGATATTTCCCCACACATTTGTGTCATGTACCTGGATGATATTCATCCCTGTGTTACTCTGTCCTTTATTTATTTCTTTATTTTATTCATCTGTGCATGCAAGGCTTGGGTCATTTCTGCCCCTTCACCCACCCCCTCCCTTACCCCCTGCCCCCTCCCGCTCCCCCTGAGCCCCTCAATACCAGGCCAAAACTATTCTGCCCTTATCTCTAATTTTGTTGAAGAGAGAGTATAAGCAATAATAGGAAGGAACAAGGGTTTTTGCTGGTTGAGATAAGGATAGCTATACAGGGAATTGACTCACATTGATTTCCTGTGCGTGTGTGTTACCTTCTAGGTTAACTCTTTTTGATCTACCCTTTTCTCTAGTTCCTGGTCCCCTTCTCCTATTGGCCTCAGTTGCTTTAAAGTATCTGCTTTAGTTTCTCTGTATTGAGGGCAACAAATGTTATCTAGTTTTTTAGGTGTCATACTTATCCTCATATCTCCCTTGTGTGTTCTCACTTTATCATGTGATCAAAGTCCAATCCCCTTGTTGTGTTTGCCCTTGATCTAATGTCCGCATATGAGGGAGAACATATGATATTTGGTCTTTTGGGCCAGGCTAACTTCACTCAGAATGATGTTCTCCAATTCTATCCATTTACCAGTGAATAACATTTCGTTCTTCTTCATGGTTGCAAAAAATTCCATTGTGTATAGATACCACATTTTCTTAATCCATTCGTCAGTGGTGGGGCATCTTGGCTGTTTCCATAACTTGGCTATTGTGAATAGTGCTGCAATAAACATGGGTGTGCAGGTGCCTCTGGAGTAACCTGTGTCACAGTCTTTTGGGTATATCCTCAAGAGTGATATTGCTGGATCATATGGTAGATCAATGTTTAGATTTTTCAGAACCCTCCAAATTTTTTTCCAGAGTGGTTGTACTAGTTTACATTCCCACCAGCAGTGTAAGAGGGTTCCTTTTCCCCCCGCATCCTCACCAACACCTGTTGTTAGTGGTGTTGCTAATTATGGCTATTCTAACAGGGGTGAGGTGGAATACTAAGCCAAAACTTATACTAAATCTTAAGTGTTTATAACACTTTCAATCAGTATTTTTCTTTATGCATGTTTTTTAGATTTTGTTAAGACCAGAGGATGGGATCCCAATATATTTTAATGAACTTTATATGAAATATGTTTTAGGAATCATAATCAAACCATTCATTCTGCATAGATTGAAGCATTCATCCATTAATGAAAGTAAAGAGTTTCCTTGAAAGCATTGCTCAGAAGCTCATTTTGCTCCAAGATGTGATCTACATACCACATGCCAACATGGAGAGGGTTTAGGAGACAATACGCAATCTTTGGAACCAAAGAAGTACTCAGATTTTGGTAAGTTGTATCTATGAGAGTTGTAGGATCCTTGCCCTCCTTGTTGAAAAGTATGTGCACTGTGGCGAAGACGTGCTCTCAGAGGCTAGTGGGAAATGGATGTCTACTTCCCAGTTCCCAGCAGGACAAAGCAGTGTGCAAACACTGCCCTCTCCCTGTGCTCTGCATAATCCTATTTCAGTGTTCCAGAGCCCCACCAGCCCTTGGAAATACAAAACAATTTAGTTCAGCATTTGGTTCTGCACTACATGGGAACATTATTTTCTGAGGGTAACAAAGGAAGGGACCATTCAAGAAGAAAATAAAGCACAATGTCAAGCTGCCAGCGTCCTAAATATATTTATTACATTTGTATTTGTGGATGGAAAATGTTTTCCATGCTACAAAGTTTTGTTAAAAACAAGTATCACAAATCAACAAATAATGGCTACAACTTCTATCTATTTGTAAACAGAAGAATAAACAGATACAACTTCCTTTGGTATACACAAGACTTTGAATTTTTTCTATTATAAAACTATGTGTGCCACCATTTTCCTTCCTTAGTAGTTTTTTCCCTTGAGATACAATCATTTACTATTGCACTTTATACTTGTCTTACCAGTTCAAGTTTGTATCAGACCAATGAACTACAAACATTTCCATAAACACCTGTTTCCTACCAAGCAGGTAGAAACCGTATTCCTTGATATAAACAAAAAGGAAGCAAAATATAAAAAGTCATGTGGATATATGTTCAAGGCCTGAATACTGCCTGGTATGAAAGGCTTTTCATTAGGTGATCATCAAAATTATGTACAATAGCCGTTAAGAACTCATTTAGCTAGCAGCACAATGACCATTGAGCTGGCTCCTCAAAGACTGGACAAACAGAATTCCGGGATGCTGTTCCCATCAGCATTTTGCAATTCGTATGGCTCCAGCTGACGGTATTCAAATGTCACACGATTTATGTGTTTCCCACTGGAGACCATGCGCACCACAGTGTTGTCACAGCCAATTTTCATCTGGGCTGCAATCAGTGGAAAAAATAAGTTTCCCATCAGGTTAGAAACCACACAAACCATTGCTGTTGACAATGAAAGCAGGGATGTATCTTCCTCTCACATACTCAACTCACTCTCAGTCAAAACAGTCTTGGTTTTGTTTTTATTGTGATTATCGAATCAGGAAAATGAACCCAGCCTTTCTCCTCATGTGCAAGAACACGGAAAGCAAATAAAACAGTTGGAAAGGGGCATGAAGACGTCTCCCAGCCTGTGTCTTGCTCTCCTGCCTGTGTGGCTTGGGTGGTAAAGAAGGCCACCTGTGAACCCTGCTGATTCTAGTTCCGGACTCTTGGTGGGAACAGTACTGCCCTCTAGGGACAGGTTGGAAATTTACAGGAGCAGTTTTTGGTAGTCACACTATCTGAGGTTCCAAGTGGCATTTCGGGGCTAGAGATGGAATGTATTGATGGAAGCTTATATAAACAAAAAGCTACCTGTTTATAACTGTTTTACACATAAACAAAAGCCATTTGCATGGTAGAGATATACACTGAGTGTACCAGTTTTTCTTCTAGTGCATTTTCTCTCTTTTCTACACTTCTCATATAAAATAGCTCATAATATTCTTACTTGTCTTACAGCCAATATTTTTGTTATCCATATTAAGCACATGGCAACCTTTATATCTCTTCTCATGCAGGTGTTCCTGAGGAGTTGTGTATTGAAAGTCATATCAAAAACTACTTTCCTTTTGTTTTTGGTGGTACTGGGTCGTGAACTCAGGGCCTCACACTTGCTATGCGGGTTCTCTTGCTGCTTGAGCCACTCTACCAGTCATTTTTTATGATGGGTTTTTTCAAGATAGGGTCTCATGAACTATTTGCCTGGCTGACTTGGAACCGAGATCCTCTTGATCTCTGCCTCCTAAGTAGCTAGGATTACAGGTGTGAGCCATCATCACCTGGCCAAAAATTACTTTCCTTTTATTTCTCCAGCCTCAAGCTGATTTCTGAGGTAAGGTTGATCTGATATATGTTCTTTTAATTTTCTCAATTCCCCTCAACATGCTTTGTTTCTATGAGGTTTTTCTAAATTCTGAGAAGTGCTACCTCTATCATTGTGTAACAGAGACCTCACAAATATGCAGCTAGGCTTAATAAATCAAAACAATTCAATAATGTTATTGAAGTAAAATTCAATTTGAAAACATAATAGACATGAACTTTATGATTATTTTAATATAAGTACAAGGGAGCCTAGGTTAATTTCTACCTGGAAGGCCCAATTTGTCTTTCTTTAAACAATTTGAAAGATCGTTCTTTTTCTGATCTTACTCTGAACTTTAATCTATATAGCATTTCTTATTTCCTTTAGCATGTGTGCATATTATTTATTATTTAAGTCAGAATTAACCATGAAATTTGACATTGGTGTTCTTCATCTTCTGTTTTATTTTTGTCTCATTTAAGATAACCAAAGATGCCTGAATCTGAAGTACAGGTGTGGGAGTGAACTTTATAGTAATGTTTTATGTAACCCTAAACACACACACACACACACACACACACACACACTTGATTAGCTTGGTCATGAGATCGGTCATTCCTACTCCTTCTTCACCCCACTTAAGCATAATGACATGGAAATTCTCCTTAGTCTCTGACAAAGAAGATCAGGTACACAGGTACACATATAAGGAGAACTTATTTAGTTACTATTTCATTGTTATACTACTATCAATTGTTGTTACATCTACTATTAGAACCATTATTCTTTCAGTTAGTAAACAAACCTTTAACCTCCAGAGGAAAGCAGGGCTCCCCAAGAAGATGAAAAGATTTGAGGAGCTTTGTGTTTTTCAAACTTTTACTTTTCAAACTTTTACCTTAAGTACATATCCTGATTGCTTCATAGGTTTCCTTCTTGGTACTGGATATTTTGATACTGTAATAAGCTCGGATATAATATTATCATATGGTTCAACATATAAAATGGAATTTTTGGTGGAACTTGTCTGCCATTTGGGGGAAGATGTTATTTAGGGAAATAATCTTGAAAAGCACATAAGTAATAATTGAAGAACTATCTCACCCGGGCCATGAAAGGGGTAGCAGAGATCTGCTAAAGGCATCATCTTGGAAGGGTCCAGGCCAGTTCCTCCCAGCAGCTCCACAAAATCTCCAATTCCCCCACAACCTGCTGAGGGTTTCTAAGAGGACAGAGCAGCAGAGCAAGATATGTTTAAAACAATGATGGAAGTCAACCCATTTGGCTAACGGTGGATGAATGAATTCACTCAATCCTGGCAGTGTCACTGAATTTAACATCTGGGACTCTGGAAATTAAAAGACTTTTAAATAGAAAAAAAAATCATAGGAATTGCTTTTCTAAATCAGCTTGAGTAATATTTTTTTAAAGTGCGTGCATGTTTTCTAAACAATTTTTTAAGCTCAAGGACTAAAATAGTGAAATAGAAATCCATACATCTTGGGGTCTGAAAACACTTTGCTTTTTAAATCACTAGGACTACATATTGAGTTATTTTAATTTCTTACTGTATGCAGTTCCAGTTAAATGAAGTCAATTATCTGCATTTTATAAATAGGGCTTCCACATTGGTTTTTCCTTTAACTCACCTCTTTTCCTCTTCTTCATAAAGGGATTCCTCTGTTTTGATACACATTATTTCTACCAATAAGGATTTAGATTAATTTTAGCTTCTTGAGCAAAGAATAAAACTGATTTGGGACCCAAGTTAGATAGACTTACCATCCTTTCATTGAAAAAAATTACTTCAAGCTACTCAAAAGAAGAATTGATTCTTGAAGTCGTTGTATGATTACTCCTAAATACTTTTTCCTGCCTCCTTTCATCCTTTCCACAATCTTAGCCACAGCAATTCCAGTGCCTCGCTCTCTTAGCTCAAACAAAGCAGCCACTCTCAATCCCAAATGCGTGCTTTGAGTGCCCCCTCTCCCATGCTAGGGCTGCCTTGTGGCATGCCACCTGTGCAGCACACAGGGCCCATGTGCAAAAGGTCCCTGTGCTAGCTTTAATGCTCTGCTGTCTCTCATTTGTGTGTGTGTGTGTGTGTGTGTGTGTGTGTGTGTGTGTGTGTGGTGGTGGGGATTGAACTTGGCTTCATGCTTGCTAGCCAAGCATTCTACCACTCTAGCCATGCCCCTAGTCTTTTTGCTTTTAGTTTGTTTTCAAATAGGGTCTTACACTAATTTTCCCCCAGGGTGACCTCAAACTGGGATCCTTCTACCTCCACCTCCCAAATAACTGGGCTTACAGTCATGCACCATCATTCCTGGGTGTCTTGAAATTCTTAATGAATTTTTAAATAAGGGACACATATTTCCATCCTGTTCAGTCTCCCACAATTTGTGTAGCTAGTTTTGCCTGCAATCCTATTGAAATGTACTTATTAAGAGATCAAGCAGAATGTGACAGGTGTCCAGATAGAGCCTGACACATGGGAACCAAAATCTAAAATAGAGAACTTTATACACACATTCATGCAGAAGCACATATATCAGACATTTAGAAGAACAATGAAATACAACTGGAACTACCCCACAAGAGGAAGGCAGGAGGGGACATCTATTTTTAAAATGCCCACTATGTGCAGGGTTCTATGCTTAGGTACTTTGCACATATTTTCATCCAATGATGAAATAGAGATTTAATTAGCTCCACTGTGCACAGGCATCGTGTTTGTGAAGTGAGACTCAAATATGCTATTTAGGGGTGAAGGAAAAAACTTAATTGCCTTTCCCCTGGGAAGACAATGTCAAAGGGAAACAGAAGTTTCCACCTGGTTCTTTAGATTTCCAATTTCAGCAGGTGGCATTGAAAGGACAAGGCAGGCTCAAAAGATAGAAATGGGAAATAAGTTGGGGAGAAGTAGAAACTAAAATGAGGGGACGACACAGAGAAACAAGGAAGGCGGGTGCATCTATTGCTGGGGTGTCCAGTGGCATTTCACTCTTCTTTATAATCCTCAGATTTTCTTGTCAACAGTGGAGGAAGCTGAGCTGCGTGGGACCGTCTGGGGTTCTGTTTCTTGGCAGCAACCTCTAGATGTTGAGGTTTAAAGCCACTATCATCTCCTGCTAGACTACAGCAATGTGTCAAAGGGGTATCTGGCCTTTGATACTAATGGTAAAGTCCCCACAGCTCAATATGCAAAGCTGGTCATTTGGGGGAATTCTCCTTCTAACACATAGGGAAGCTGGGGTGTTTTAAAGAATAATCTTGATAGGTACACATATAATAACCAAAGAAACATGGTCCACTCACCATGTGGAAGCCAGAGTGACCTGTAGACAACAGACCTCAGGTCATGTAACTTTCCTGTCTGAACCCCTTCAGTGATACCTCACTGCTCTTAATACACTCAAAGCATTGCTATGGACAGCACAGCTGCCCATGCTCTGGCACTGCCCCTCCCTAAGCTGGCTCATCCCTCTCTCCCTCTACCATCTCAAGAACCCAGCAAGCACGCACCTGCCTCAGAGCCTCCGGACCACTGTTCTCTCTGCTCTCTGTTCTTCCTGAGGCTGCTGGCTCCTTCTGATCTGTCGTTCAGATCTCACTTTAAATGTCTCCTTCCCGGATTGGGGGGCATAACTCCAATGATGGAGAACTTGCCTAGCTAGCACAAGTCCTAAAGTTCAACCCCCAGTACCACAAATAAAAATAAATACATACATAAATAAATATTTATATGTCTCCTTCCCAGGTTTCTTTTCTGACGAGCTTATCTCAGGCAGCTCTGCCCTCCTCTCCACCTCCTTGTTCCCAGTCACTATCTATCTGCAGCCACTTTACTGAATTTTCTATACAGAACTTACCACTGTTTGAAACACATGACAATTTTGCCCATCTTAACTCACTAGAATGCAGGCTCCCTGTGAGCAGGACCTATCTTACTCATTGCTAATTTCCAGAATCCAGAATAGCTCCTTGTACATAGGCAGAATTAATTCTGTTTTTCCTCTGGAGGCAGGGTCTTGCCATGGAGCCCAGGCTGTTCTGGAACTTGAGATTCTACTGCCTGAGTCTCCCAGTGCTGGGATTACAGATGTGAGTGAAAAAAAATAGTTTTTAAGGAATAAATGCCTACAATACTATGGGCTTTAAATTATCAAAGGAAAACACCAAGGTTATTTCTTAGAGCCTTAACACCTGAAGGACAGCTCTCCCAATCTGCTACCAAATCTCTCAGCTTCTAGCTTTTACATTAAGAATGATGTACAAACAGTATCAAGCCAATAAGCCTTGGCCAAGGATACTGAAAGACACCCTTATCAAAAGATCATTCTTCTACCAAGGTCCAACAACAATTTAAGAAAAAGCAGCAGCCCATGAATTTAAGGCTAGAGGAAATTGGATATACATTCTTTTCTTCGGTCCTGGTCCTATTATTTGATTTTCACTAAAATCTGTCAGATTAGGAGCTCTGGCCCCTTTGATAGCAGCAAAATACATGTATTATCTTAACCTAGGCACTAGAGTAAGTATAGGAAATGAGGATGACTCATAGAGAAAATGCTATCAGTGCAAGTAAATGTGGTCAAGCTAAGCATTAATTTGAAGGTCCACACAGAATTCATGTGAAAGTAAGTTGATAGGGAGTCTCAGCTAATATTTCTGAGGCAGAATGCACTGACTTAAATGCAATGCAAAATACTCTTCAAAACTTTTTTCCTGCCTTTTGCAATGTAAAAATCCAATTTCATATTTTATGCTACAGTTAGCATTCCTCCATAGCATAGTCTGTCAATGAGATACTTCCTTCGTGTCAAAAGAAAATTCCAATAATCAGAAAAACAGCTGTGTAGATGACTCATACTAGGTTCTGCAAGAAGAGAATTTTTGCAAAAGAAGGCAAGTACAAGAGAGTTCAATTGTAATTACATACCACCAAGTTCACCAATTGAAAGCATTTCTTACGTCACAAGAAAAAATACTGAAGTAGTTAGAATGGGCACCTGAATGTGTGGCTGGCAGCATGACTGAAATAGAAGAAGGGTTCAGTTAAAGCAGCGAGGGTAGCACATGTGTGATTTAATAGCCAGAAGGATGGGCTGCTCCAATTTCCTGGTGCCAGATTTGCTTTTGCTCTGATAAAACTCAGGCCTGACCAAGTACTTAAAAAGCAAGCAGGGCACTTACCTTTAACTGAAGACCATGTAAGTGTCCCAGCGTGAGATCAGATATTTTGATTGCCACTGGATAAATGATGGAAAAGCTGCAGTTTCGATGCTGGTGTGGGACCACCAGGGTAAACCTTCCATTCGGGGTCTGAGAGATGGCATTGCAAGCTTTGTAGAAAAAAAAAAGTTACATTTGCATTATTTGAAGTGCTAAGATTTTGTAGAAATTTATTGTATCCTTATTCTAGGCTTCTGTTCATGGTCTGGAGTGCCAGGGGAGAGAATATATGTCACAGTGACAATTTGGAGAAAGGAAGGAGTTAGGGTAGTAAAAATCATTAGTGATGTATGAACATTATCAGTACCCCTGAGCTGCAAGGGGTCTTCTAACCTTCATCTCAGGGGGTTACCTTGTTGACAGTAATCATGACATATAATGAACTACAGGTAGCTAGCTGGTAGTGGTTCTAGGAACACTTAGGTTAACTAGGGTCTAAGTTCAAGCCAGGAATCTGGGAGAATCAGGCTTAAAGGTGAGGCCTGAACTCAAACCTTGTCTGTTTGAAGTTGTCACTCATATAATTTGGAGTCGTGTTGTTATTTTAAAAGCTATTAAGTAAATAAATAATCTTATTTTAAATGGTTTATAATACTGACAAAATAGGCTGACAATAAAATAGAAAGATGGGTCTTAAGCCTGATAAATATTTGCTGGGTATTGAATGATACTGACTAAAAAGTAAATTTTTTAATGTTTAATGTTCTCAAGAATTTCTGAAATGTTTGCATCTCAAGTCTAGACTCAGAATGTATTTATTCTTCTAGCTATGAAACAGAAGCATCAGAATTTGCATTTTTGCTCATAATGGGACAAAAGTTTCTGATTGATCAGATCAGACCCACCTCTTGCCTCCTTCTTATATTTTTTATTGCACTTAATTTCAAAAAGAACTGAAATTCCTTGATGATTCTGGAATGTGTCATATGCCTTCTTACCAACAAAATACAAGAGAAACATTTCATTTTGTCCTGTAGAATTATTCCGCTCCAGTCTCCAGAAATAGCTTTGGTGATGGGGCAGGAATTTCTTTCAAAAATTCTTTTTGTTTTTTAAAAATAGAAATCAGAAAACTAGCTGGAAGTAGTTCAAGTGGTAGACAGCCTGCCTGGCAAGTGTGAGGTCCTGAGTTCAACCACCAGGACCTCCAAAACCAAAACAAAACAAGATTTGTGATACATTATTCTTTGGCAGATTAGGTCCTACCCTTCAACTACAAGAAATAATAAATACTAAAATAAGTGATATGCTTTCTTTTTTTCCAGTTTTTAAAAATATTTTTCTCTTAATGGGGAAAAATAAGCAGATGAGTAAAATAATTAAAATGTACTTTAGAACTGGGCCATACAGTTTTATAGCAAAATCTATGTGTGTCTAAACTGAACTAAATTAGGGTGGTGGGCTTAGTATCAGAAGGCAACACAAAGACATTCTGGCCCTATCCTCTGCTCAGGGCCTGACATCTGTCTACTGTATCTCAGCTGTGCAGCTTTTCAGCCTTTGTCTATTAGCTCTAGGACTACAGCTTTATAGCTGATCCTTCAAGTTTATCCTGGATCCAAGGAATGACTTCGGAGATCAAAGTTTGTCACTGAATGCATTGCAATACCTAAGGGGATTAGAAAAAGACTTTGAAGAAAAACAGAATTGTACCCATCATAAACTAGGATATTACCTAGCTTAGGAAATTAGTTAGAAGCTGTGATTTGTTTTTCAGACTGAACAGAAAATATTCTTTAGCTTATTTCTAATTACAAGTGAATTTCCATTTCAATTTTCCTAAGTCTGTGAAATACTACTTCTGAAAAGCAGGTTTCACTTTCCTCCCAACCCTCAAGGCCTATCTGTTGACTGAGACAACAGGCAGTTAGCTCACTTACGAAAGAGATTGGGATCTGTCTTTACGGTTAATGTGAATCCATTTCCTGGTTCATGGACCCGGAAGAAGATCATGGCCACATTCTGGGAAGATCTGGTGCTTCTTCTGCTAAGACCACTCTCACAGAAATCTACATACCGCTTGGTGGTGGGGAGAGGGTGATCTTGAGAACTGGGGAATTTCTCCCCCTTGAGGATCCAGCCATCAAACACCTTCCAAAAAAATAATAATAGATATTGATGGTCATATTCATCATCTCCTGAAATCATGGGTGTGTTGAAAAGGGGGAAAGTTATCTAGCAATGAGACTTCAGTTTAAGTGAAGGATTGATAGCCACACCCCCTTTTCCCCTGTCTGCTTGCTTTTCATTTGGATGTAGTTGGAGTGAGAGTTGGTTGCAAGTAATGTTATTAATTAATGCTCTTTTCTGTGTAAGCCTAAAGAAGTAAACTATCATACTTCTTATTCTTACAATCATTTTGGCAAAAGAAATCGTACACAATATATATTTTTATCTTGATCATGTTTTCCATATCCCACTTTCAAAAGAATGCTACAGAAGCATTATTTGGGTTTCATTAACTTCTATCTTTCCTCTAATCACTGAGATGTGAACAAATTATCTCAAAAATAGGTAGCAACAGAAAAAGACTGGGGTAGCAGTTTTATCTGCAATGGTTAAAACAGGCATCCTCATCTATTTTTGCTATCATCCCATATTACCTGAAAATATCAGAAGCTGCTGTAGTCAGATAATGTCAACTGATAAACCCATGTAGAACCTTCCACTTCACTTGCTACCTTTGGTAGTTGGACAAAGGGTCAGCCAACTGATTTTGCTCTCAGAATCAACACAGGTCTCCAGTTAACCTACGTTTACCAACATAGGTCATAAAATTACCAACAACCCACTGCAAATCATTTCTAAATAACTTGACAGGCTCTAAAATAATTCTGCTTTGGCGGTTTGAATCATGGTCGCTTTCACTGAGCAGTAGAGCTCCATCAACCATCCCAAGCCGACCTCTGTGACTATGGCAACCAAGAGTGGCGGGTGGGGGTCTGGTCTTCTCCTTCCTCCTGTCTCAGACTAGATTCCTTCTCCCCCACCCCCCATCATCCTTCCCAGCAGCCAGGGCCCTACTGCTCCAAAAGCCGATCGCCCCGGCTTTGAAGACAGCCTCTGAGCCAGCAGAAGCAAAGGGTTCGCCTCTCACCAAGACTCTCTTGGTAGGCTGGAGAGCTCCTCTTAGTTTTTGCCAAATTTCGTCTGTCCAGATTGCATCACAGCATTTCGTGCTGCAAGTTCAAGTGTTCAGGAGTTCTCAGGGCCTCGAAAGCGTTTAAAATGGAATTTAAAGCGCCGCAGCGTGCAGAGGCACCAAACCTACAGCTTAGGTCTTTCTTAGGGTTGGGACAAGATAGGGACCAGGTTCCCGCCGCATGCGGGTCCCCAAGCGCGCCTCCCCGGCTCGAGCACCAGCGGAGGGTCTAATTAACAGCTGTCCTCGACTCACCACGCTGGGCTAAGCCCTCCAGCCCCTTCCAACCTCCGGACTGGGGATACACGGGGCGGGGCGCCTCACCTTCAGGAAGTCCCCTCCCTGACAGTCGATGGACACCAGGTCGTAGTGGATGGTGATAAACTCCTCCGGCTCGCCAATGAAGAAGGCGGCACAGTGCAGCTGCGGCCGGTCGGCGGTGAAGGTGAATTGGCCAGGGAGACTCAGCATGTCCAGGCACCCTGGGGAAGGCCACAGACCCAGGGGTCCAGAGCTGCAGCTGCCGGGGCGCCGGCTCGGCAGCCAGTCTCCGCCGGCCCCATTCCCAGGCTCGGCAGCGCGCAGCGCCCTAAGCTTGGGCTCCCAGTCGCGGCAGCGCGGGGATCGGGCGCGGCTGCTCTCTGACCGATCCTTGGCGAAGGAAATCGCGCCCAGGAGGTCACGGCCAACCCCGGCCCGGCGATCCCGGAGCCTCGCGCCCTCGGTGCAGAGCCCCAACCTCCCCGCCTCCCAGACACCAGCAGGGTGCTCCGACTCACTCAGAGCACGGCGGTACGGCTGCTCCCCAGCCAGGTCCCGCTTCAGATTGGCGTTGAAAAGCTGGAAAGGGTCGTGGTCCGCGGCTTCTTGCAGCTGGCAAGGAAAATGGGTCAGTCCAGAAAAGTTCAAGGGGTAAGAAAGAAAGTGGATCAGCAGCGGAGCACTCACCCTGCCGCTCAGCAGAGCAAACAGAGATGGAGTCAAGGTCTCCCTGAGTCCGGAGACCACCGACCCGAGGGTCTTAGACCCTTCCCATTAGACCAGGGCATCCCCAGCGGCCAGAGGAAAGCAGGCAGGGAGAAAGACAAGTGTAGATGAAAAAGACTCAATGGAGTGGGAAGAACAGCTAACCCCATAAAGGGCTGAGAGCAGAGACAGACTGCCTGCCGCCCTACTCACAAGAAAGGTGTGTTGGTTAATCCAGGGATGGCTCACCTCTAGGTAGCGGCTGTCCCCTCTGAGAGCCGCCAGGAAGATCAGAATGAAGTGACACTGAAGTTTGAAGTTAGGTAGCATGCTGGCCTTGCGTTGCAGCTTGCGCGCTGTGCTCCGCAGATCTTGGGCTTTTCTTCCCACACCTTCACCCACGCTGAGAGCTAGCTAGTAGGGTCCCTTTGCTGGGTCTCTTTTATAGAGCAGTAGAGAGGGGAGGCTCTCTGCCCCTTAACTGATCTAAGCCTAGTTACCATGGGTTACCCTGTCTCAGTGACAAAATACGTGGCAATGACGAGGGTCGGGCTCTCAGCCACAAATTTCAGCGTGGCCCAGCATTATTCACCAAGAATGACTTCAGTCACTACACTTAGTGATCAAAAGAATGAGAGAGGACATTTTATTGACCTGCCAAATGTGACATTATACTTTCCAGTGGACATTCTGGGATTTTCCGGTTTAGCAAAGCAAAGTGACAGTTACCCACATGTATAAAATATCCAGACACATATGATCTAACTTATCACACAACCTTGAATGAAAACATGCTGAAATGGTCAGCATGTAGGATTTGTGCAGTTGCCACAATTCTCCATAAATAACTTGAGGTATTTCAGCTTCAAAAGTCTGAGAGTCTGGAATTTCAGAAGATTGCAGTAATGCCATTACAAGCTTTCTTCCTGTCTCTTAATCTCTGCTTTATCCTGGCCCAGTTTCTTATAAGCATTTCCTTAATGGAAAGTTAACTCTGGTGTCTGCAGACTTCTGGATTTTAGCTGAGGTCTGTCACTTGACCTTGGGTTTTTGTGCCATGTATACACTTTTGGTCAGGTAGCCTTGGCCATGACTTTTGCCTCCATCTGGACTACTGAGAGCGTGCCATTCCATTCCATTCCCTGCCTATGAATACCTGGCCTACTTCCACCCCTGATAGAAAGAACTTCAAGAAGCTTCTTTATCACTGCTCACCAGCAAGTGCATAGGCCAAATCAAGTGTCTTAGGGATGGACTTGAGCTAGGTATATCTCCATCAGTTACAGAGAAGAGCATCGCATCTGCTTTGTCTCCGGAATTATAGAGATGCTCCACTTTTGACTTAGCTACTCTCTTTCCAATATAGGTGGCAGACATTGTTATGAAAACTATTGCACACAATAAGACCATACATCAGGGTTTTAATGAAAGAAAATGGCTATATATTTTGCCTAGTAGTGCCGGAACTTGATGTTTTCATATTTAAGACAATTCTGAGCTCTGCAGGGACGGCACTTTAGCTTTTTAATCAGGAAGTCTTTCTATCCACCTCCAACTTTATAAATAATCCTCAGACCACAGAGGGGGAAGAACACCCACAGGTCAGGAACACTGGCCACCATGTCTTCCCAATCCCAGGAAGTTTAAATGTCTGAATTTCAGAACGAGTATAAAGAACTTTAGGGGAATAAAGGAGGAGAAAAACAAATAGCTACACCTTCACCTGCTTGGCCTCAAATGTGTCAGGCCATCTTCAGGTCCATCTCCCACAGTGTTTATGCCTACAGGAGCCTCGTGAACACTCACCTGGCATGCCATCCTCTCCCATCAACTCAGCCACAGCTTTGACCTGTGTAGATTCAATCCAGCACTCACTTGGAGACTTTTGTCTTCCCACGTTAGGCATCTGGCACCTTGGGTCACCCCAGTTCAGGACTGCTTAATATCATCACCAAGGAGACATTGTTCTTCAGCCTTCCCCTTCATAAAGAGAGAGAGACAGAGACACAAGGAAAGACAGAAAGAGAGAGAGAGAGATAACAATGTTCTCAGCGTGTTTTCATGATGCTCCTTCCTCAAGAACCACATCTACAGCAAGAGCTGAGACAAAGGAGGGCAAACATAGAGACTGAGGTAGCATCTGATATCACATAACAATTCAAGATTATAGTGTACGATGAGCTTCACCCCCACCAAATCCTGCATGGAAAATCAAGATGCAATTTTCTCCAACTTGTTAAACATGTCCTAAGTCAGTAGAACAGGGCTGGTGGAGTGGCTCTGACAGTTAAGAGTGCCTGCCAAGCAAGAGTAAAGCCCTAAGCGCAAACTCTAGTATTGCCAAATAAATAAATAAGCATAAATTTTTTTCATGGACTGATTTGTCTATTCAAACAATTAGCTTAATTTTTTATTTTATTAGCATATAATAGTTGTATTAGGGGATACATTGTGATATTTACATATATGCTTACAGTATATCTTAGTTAGGTTTACCTCCTCCATCTTTCTCCCTTTCTCCCTCTTTCTCCCTCCCCTCCTTCTTGGAACAATTTCAACAAGTTTCATTCTTCTATTTTCATATAAGAATTAGCTTAATATTTGAAAGCTGTTTGTTCAACCAAATTAACTAGGTTTGGGGTTGTTTGGGTTTTTAATTAATCAATTAATTCTTTTTTGAGTCAGAGTCTCTATGTAGCCCAGGCTGGCCTGGATTGTGTGACGCTCATGTCTCAGCCTCCTCAGTGCTGGGCCATACCCAGGTTAGTTTCTTGACATATGCTCTGGGTAAATTCAGAGTCCCCAAGCATACTGCCTGGAAGTAATTTGTATGTATACAAATTGTCACTGTCCATTCTCTGCAAATATTTTTCATTTCCTCTATAACTTTTCTAGACAGCCTCTCCAGTGTTGGTGTTACACATCCCTGAGATGTGATTTCTAGGTCTTAAAACCATTATTGGGCAAGGTGAAGGCTTTCTTTTAGTCAAGTAGGACTAAGACATATTTTCCTTTCCAAATCCCTCCAGGGAATTGTCACCTGAAGGTCAAGTGGCCACATGATATCAGATCCGTATTTGACCTATGAACATGGTGGGTGAGAGGGGCAGAACTTGAAATTGTGCTGAGACTGAAATGGCACACATAGACACCTTAATACCTAGCATGCAGAGGGACTTTGGTCGCCCTGGAAACATGTCCTAAGATGTGACTGTGATAGCCAAGATTGAGCTTGTGGAGTCTGCCACAGCATATGCCCTAAGGTGTCAGAATCAGCAATGGGGACTATATAATCTCAAATCTTTTTCTATTTTAAGATCCCATGACCCACTAAGTATTCCCTACCTGTAATACTAAAGTTTTTTCTTTTAGTACATCAATATATGTGTTATAAGAACTTCTTTTTTTTCTGTCCTGATTAATTTGTTGAACTGCTGGAAATGGGACATATGATTAAGTTCTTTAACAAATAAAGATGACTAGAATGACTGGGCTGGGGGTATAGCTCAAGGGATAGACAGTTTGCCTAATATGTGCAAGACTCTGGGTTCTAACCCCAGTAGGAAAGAAAGGAAGGAAGGAAGGAAGGAAGGCAAAAGAAGGAAAAAAATAAAGATGATTAGATAAAATTCATTGTGGCTAGCCAACCACCACAAAACTGTTTCCAGTTGCTTTCAAGATGTCTTGTTGTTTGAATTTGGTGTTATTTTTATTTTATAGCGGTAAGAAAATAACATCTACAGTACTGCCAGCTATAGGCAGTCAGCAGTATTGTACAGCAGCTCTCTGGCATGTCTTCATCCTACACAAGTGAAACTATGACTATTGATTAGGAACTCCCCATTCTCCCCCCACCAAGTCCCTGGCAATCATTATGCTCTGCTTCTATAAGCTGGCAGTTTTAGATGTCTCATATAAATAGCATCCTTCAGTATTTGTCCATCTATAACTGGCTTATTTCATTTAGTATGATACCCTCAAAGTTTCTCCACATTGAAGTATGCAACAAGATTTCCCCTTTTTTCAAGGTAAGTAATGTTCCACTGTATGTGTGTATCTCATTTTCTTTATCCATTTGTTCATCATCATTTAGGTCCTTTCCACATCTTGGCTATTGTGAATAGTACTGCAATGAGCAATGAACATGGGAGTCCAGATATCTCTTCAAGATCCTGACAAATGCTAAAATGTGGGATTGCTGAATCACTTTTTATCTTTTTAGGAACCTCCGTACATTTTCCATAGTATCTGAACTATTTTTGCATTCCCACCAACAATGTAGAGGATTTTCTAGCAACTTATTTCTAACAGATAAGATTTATTTTTCAGTGTGTCTGAGATCAGGAAGGAAGAAACCAAGCAATACCCTTTGGAGAGCTAATATAAATCAGCTTCTGAACGAAATCCTATGTGCCAACTTCTAACCTACAAGAATAGAAGTTAAGACTTTCAGGGAGAGGGGAGTTGCAAGAGACTGTTACCAAACTTGAGCTTAAGTCCAATGGGGAACCTATTGTCAAGACACAGGAATGCCTTCCAAAACACATGGTTAGGAAAACTGAAGGCAGAGGCTCAAGTGCTACTCCCCAGGTGCCTATCTGCAGGCTTCCACCCATACCTGCAGTCCCTGTGGTGGCAAATAGACCACCAACAATTCCATGTTACCATTAGACAAATGAAAATACCTTGGATAATGTTCTCATAACCTCCAGTCCACAAAGATGTGAAAAGAAGCTTAGAGGCCAGAGGGTAGGATCTCATCAAAGCATCTCATGTTACCTTGTCTCATCTCCCAGTGGATCCATGTGGATGGAGGAGAAGGCAGAAGCAATTTCTAGAAACAGGGGTGTAGGACTTACAAATTAAAGGCATCCATTAGATTAAAACAAAGCAAAACCCTCTTGGGTTCAATGATATCGTTGATCATAAATTTTCTTGCCTATAAAACGGTCAAATACACTGGAAACTATTGTAGACATTAAATATATGTAATATATAAGATAGATTTAAATGGTAGCTAATATTAAATTACACCAATCATATTATATGTATTTGTCCTAGGTTTTTACTTCCAATGATAATAGTCACCTAAGAGTGCATGCATAAGATATGTTTCTCATATCATTATTAAATTAGAATGAATGTCTTCATATTAGATCATTAACATACTTTAAAAAGCCATTGTTAGAAAAAGCAAGAACTAAGCTGAAATGTAATTACAGAACTGCATTTCAAAAGATGAGTTAGGAATGGGTTGCATTAAAGATTATGCACCATAATGGAGAGTCACTCATCTCATCTGAGAGAAAAGAGGAAATGTAGAATATCATGAAGTTGAAAAGATTGAGGAGGTTAGTTATAAAGCAGAAAGAAAAGATAAAATAATTAGGAAATGCCCAAAGGAGGATGCATTTTGATCTCATATCAAGGATTGTTGAGTGACATCATTTGTTTTAAGCCTGGGAGAAAAAGTTTCCAAAAAGTCAAATGACAGGAGGAAAAAATGAAAGATTAAATGATCTGTCCAAATTATCACAGTGAATGAGAAACCAAGTCCAAATTAAGAAGGTTTCTCTATATCCAGCCTGGTGGTCAATCCTTCTAG